GTTCATTGAACATGGAGAACAACATGAAGCAATAGTTACACAGAAGTGGGAGAGCAGCATTTGTCGCTTTTGGGCCACCCAAAAAAAAGACACCGATTAACTAAAGAACCTGGAAATCCGCCCTGACATTTTCAACTCAACAAGTCTGCTTTGTTATCTAGCGGAAACGTGGGGTAATACTTCAACCCCATTAAGAAATCTGTGCAGCACCCACAGCGCATGAACGATGTCTTATGAAATACAACCGGCACACACAAATTCCAGCTCGAATGTGAAGCTCTGATCTTCGAGACCTAGGAGAATACACGTCGATAGCGAAACGTAGATGGGCGGTTATATAACGAAGAGAGCAAATGACAAATGAACGACAGGATTCGTTGAGTGGACTCCGCAAGTACCTTCTAGGGCGATGACCTAAACATTGAGCGGACATGTACGTAACTAAAATCAAACAGCTGCACTCGCAGCTGCAGTTTTTTACAGACCACGATGTGATATTCGCACCCGTAACCATGTTCGAATCAAACCACCACCATGGATGACGATGAGGAGACAAAGAAACGGCAGTAAAATGTACTGTGGTGCACACAACTTGTTAAGACGAGTCGTCCAAGTAAATAAGTAGGAAATAATTTAACCTATTACAACGAACCTAGATTTACCTCTACTTGCAAGAGTGTTTATGAACAGCAACAACGTTAATCAAGGAGAAGACGAAAGCTAACCAAACATCTCACAGTTGGGCATTAAACTGGAAACAGTTCAATCGTTTATTAATTAGTAGGCTATATTGATATATTGGATGATTCAATGTCTCTCATAAATTACTATTGCCTATTTGTTGCCATTTAGCTGATATATTTTAAACGTGTTTTCTGTTGAAGCATAACCTATTGAAGATCCAAAAGTTAATAGTTTCTACAAGGATCGTAAGAGTTTATCATGGGAAATTTAGGAACATAAGCTTGATTTTTTAGAAGAGGACAAATGTTTCCATTTAAAGAATTAATAACTGAGCGCAATCTATCCTGTACATCAAAACATCTCACGTAGAAACTCTTATGACCATCAAGGTTGAAATCTGTGTTGGTATAGCAGTTAATGTTAAGTATACTGAAGTGTGGACAGCACAGCAGCAGTGATGCCGTTCATTATGAACAGGGTGCTGCTTCGAGCCCGCCCCGTCTTCACAAATCCGTCCAGGACCGCAAAATTTGTGCCAGTCTTGTCAGGGAACAGTTCAGTCTTTGCAGTCCAAGTGCGAACGCTCTAGTCTAGCTATCCCAAAACTCTAGGGAGAATCAACTCGATCAGAATTCAACGATATTCGTAAATAAGAATACAACCATGGAGCAGCAGCCTAATGTACATCCGAAAAAGGTTTGAAGACCTTCGTAGACGGTGAATGCGAGGAAATGAATCGAATGCAAGAAGGGTTAGGACCCCTAGAGTAGATGTGATAATGACTCATGTAAAAAAATATTATATATTAAAGTAATTTCATTACAAATGGCCCTTGTTGACACTCAATCAGCCGCTGTTTCTTTTCTTTTCATACGTTATACATTATTAGAATTCAAGATGTGCACTTCAATTTTTCTTACTTCTCTAAACTGGTGCGTTAATGTTTCAGCGCAACACTCTTTCAATTAAATACAAGCCATATTTCCTTGCTCTGATTTTAACAAGCCTTCCTCCATGAGGGGGCTTGAGTTGGTTAGTCGCCACGTGGCACATCACCAGGTGGCCAATAGTGGAGAGGAGTTTAAACGCAGATCAGAAACGTCTATGTAGTTGTTGTGAGGACCACGTGAATTCAAAAGGTAGACTCGCCATTTGGGATGTATCGCACTGTCGTATTCGTTTGATATAGACGTAGCAATATCACTACATACATGAGTGACTGTGCTTGCTGTACGCTGATCATATTCCATATCAGCTGGCATAGAGTGTAGCATAAAGAATGACACCAGCTTTTGCAGGATGGATTGCCTAGAAAAAACAAGTCTTTACCACATATCAATCACTATTATGAACAACAAACGTCCTGTACCAAAGTGCATCGCCGGTTGAGATTGACTCATTCGAGACATGCTCCACTGAAGAAGATCCAACTTGTTAGGACGACTAAGACGTCAGATCGAGAAAGCAACATCTGTGGACCATCGACATTATGGCAAACTGTAGCACTGGAAGCTGCGAATGAGATACTACAGACGCAAAATAGAACTTTACGACTCAATAGATTAACATAGACGAGACGACACCGTATGGTTACATGCACTTCATGCGGATTCCTAGGATTATGCTCCGGTATAGCAGTGGACACAGTAAATGATTTGTGTCAGTTTCGGTTTTCAGCTGTCTTCATCCGGCATTATGACGGAACGAAGTTGAGATCAACGAACTTCAAAGGAATTCAAAGAGGTTCTAAAGGAAATCCATACCTTATACAAAATCGTCGGCCACTTCAACTTCACCAGTGAGCCCTCATATGCTTCACATTAGAACTCGGAAACTGAGACAAAGCGAATGGAGTGAGGAACCGTTTTGAGTTCGTAATGACTAAAATGGTTACCCATAATAAATAATTAACAGTTCGAAAATCCCTCCTCACCTCGTTGGAGGTAGAAGCCTTTCGATTAATATTATTGTGATGGTGTCAACCACAACATCATTAACGGAGAATTTTGACTAACTCATGTCGTTCTTGCTTGATGCTTGTCAGAAAACCAAAACAGCCTCCTCTTGGTATAAAATTGTTCTTTGATAAACGGTGGAAAACCAAAAAGATATCTAAAGACAATAATAGATTAAAATATTTTAAACTTTTTATGGATTTAAAAGTCTTATCCGCAACGTAGATGATTCACACCCTTTGCTCGTTTAGCGCCTTTGTTGAAGTATTGGAAAAACCGACAGTTTGATTATGAAATTCAGTGAAGTACAATGAGAGAACGAAGTGTAACTATGGTTCACTTCCATGTTTCTGGCAAAGAACTTCAATTCTGTTGAAATTGAGCAGGGCATCTTTACTCGATATTGGGATTCTTCATGAGTAATAAAAAAACGTAAAGCTTTCGGAGTTTCTCAATCCCTGAGCCCCTACATAAATAATTCGCCCAAGCTCAACGATATATCAAGTCAGCATTATTACCCTCTCAGGTACGTCGGATGGCAATTTTCCTACAGTCGAGGTGTGGAAAGTTTGGGAAACCTGGGGAACGTGTTTTAGAGAGCGATTGAGTTAGATACTGCAAGGCACTTCTAAGCACTACGCTGCAAGCGTCCTACAGCGGCATTACGACAGGCAGTTCATTACTCTGCAAGCACATCACGTCATTGTCGATGTGTAAATGAGATCTTGACAAGGCGGTACACTCTTGCTAGGAGAACTTGTTAAAAATGTTGAGCACTTCGCATGAAAATCGGAGTGGAAAAACGTGAATGTTAACACTCTACTTAATTAGAACAACCGCCTTCACAAAGGCAACATTAAGTAATGCCATCAGCGAATAGGAACTTCGTGATAGGAAACACACAACAGAAACATGGTTTCCAGAGCTTTATGGGAATCCTTTACGATGGATACAACAGCTCTTCGTGTTCCTCAAACGAGCAGGAACTGTATGTGGAAGTTCGACATGCTACGCTGATGCTATGAAACTTTGATGATGCCCTCTTGCGTTGCTCAACAACCAGTGCGAGAAACGGTAATAAAAGTAAGACAAATAAAATAATTTCCAAAACATAACACGAAATATTACTAATATGTGATGCCGAGCCAGATATGTTTGAAGTATGAATAACTAGTAACTTAATTATGATTCGTGTTAATTTACGCATAGTCATTCTTGTAGGAAATACGGTGGCAGCAAATATTATCAGTTTCTCAAACAACTCGCAAACAAATTCTGATCTTGAACAGTGCAGTTTCCAGTGTTTCTCTTCTCGTTATGATTTCGACGTTTCTTAGTTCGCTTCATTTAATAATTATGAATTTTTACATCTTCAGGTGCAACTGAATTCTGGTCCATTGCAAAAAATAACGACTGAGTAGTCAGTACGAAACCCGGTATCCTTTAGTTATCCATTACTCATTTATTGTATATTGGAGAAACTTTAAGAATGTGGATTTTTCTCATAATTTCATCAACGTTTCATTTCTACCTGATGTTAGGTACTTTTATGGCTTGTCATCGCGAACTGTGAAGCCCCCAGTACAAGTTCTATTTCACTAATCTTGACTAATACGGTTCGCTGGTTCAACGCGTTTTTTGTTTTCCAAAGCATTGATTTCGCTCTGCCAAGGTGTCAACGGGCACATGTGGCGCAGTAGTCGGAGGCGCCCTGCAACACACATGTGGAATCGATCTCTGCGTCCATGGCTCACCAAGTCATCCATCCCTCTGGGGTAGGCAAGTTGGTACCAAACTTGTCTGGGAGGATAGCAGCACTGGCTTGATACATCGGTAGGCCACTGCGAGTCATTGTAATGGCCAGATATGCATTCAATCACTTCCAAGCGATGTTTAATGAAGTCGAATACATGGCGCATCCCTCACGGATTGATCAACGCCGACAGCTCTATCCTTTTAAGGTGTCTTCATGTCATCACTAGATGCAGTTGCCCTTGCCTAGGTCGAAATGACGTTTGCCGTTTTATGAGTTAGCTTCATAAGGACTGCGGCGAATCTTGGAATGTGTTTACTCCTAAATGGCTCTAGGATGTAATCGTTTAATTTTTGGAGAAATAGGTGGCCGCGCCAGAGAACTACGCTTCTGCTCAATATCGCAGTCAGGCGTCCAGAAAGGAAGACAACAACGAGAGAAGTTTGGAGTCATACTGTTCATCGTTGGTAGTGATTCCAATCGTGTACAGAACGACATGCCGGTATAGCGTCTAAAGGCTATCTAACCACGTACCTACTACATGCAGTACATGCGGTAGGACTACACTACATAACAACTCCCGTAACAACAACAACAACACGTACCTACTACACGTAAGATCGCCGCCCGACTGACGGACGAGACCGCCGAGCGATCATCGCCCACACTCGCCGCCGGCCCGTCCATCCTGCCGCCGGCCCGTCCGCCCTGCCGCCGGCCTGTCCGCCCTGCCGCGCGTCCGGTCGCGTCCGGCCGCGTTCGGCGAACGGCGGACGGGCCGCGACCAGGAGGCGGACTCGTGACGCGTGCACGCGACGCTGCCGCGCGCACACTTTTGCTGGCAGGCTGCCAGCCATTTTCCTTGTCAGCTGATTCGAAAAAGAGTCAACTCTATACGAAAAAGCGCCGACCGCTGGCGGCAGGCTGATGTCAGCGTGTGATAGCACCATACGTGGAAGGGATCATCACCACCGTCACAGTCATCGTCTAGGATATTCGAATTTGTCGTCATCGTCGTCGTCGTCGTCACCATCGTCGCCGTCGTGGTCGTCGTCGTCGTGGTCGTGGTCGTGGTCGTGGTCGTCGTGGTCGTCGTCATCTCGTCGTCATCCGGTTCAGCAGGATCGCCGGCCGTTGACTTCTGATCTTCTACTTGCCAGTGCATTCCGCGTTTCTAGGCACGAATATTAGCGATGACTAGTGGTGAGACGAAATCCACTGCCGTGGAGAAGACACATCATTTACAGTAAGTCCCTATTTTATGGATTTTCTCAGCGTTCGGTCTTATGAAAATTTTTCCAAATTTCTCATTATAAGGTATGATCGAGACTCGTTATTTGCAAATTACCGTACTCTTCTGTAATGAATTTGATGTTAACTGGTTTCTTGTTTCGATAGCGCACTAAACGGTTCATCTTCATCATCTTCGTCGTTCATTCCAGTCTCATTTCACATTACTGAAGAGTTTCGAATCGATCGATAACGTTTTGTTTTCGAAGATCCAGTCACAAATCCTACCTCCATCGATAGAAGTTGTTCACGTAATTTCCGAATTCTGTTATTCAAAGCTTTTACGTTTTCTGCTGATCATTTTCTTCTAAAGTCTTACTATACAGCCATAACTCTTATTTTACTATCGACTCGAGTTTTGCACGTTGTTTACCATCAGGGTTCGAGTTTGTTCGGTGATCAAACCAATTCTGAACGTAGAAATATAACCACGTCTTCTCATCAGAAGTAGTTGATTACCGTATCGAATAAATATCCGTAGTGTCTGATGTGTGAATGTTCGTTAAACATGAATGAAAAGAGCGATGGTACTTGCCAACTAATAAGTAGTACTATGAGGTACTGCTGAGACTACATGAGAGATTACTAGCGAGTTTAGTTACTTTGGTAGTTGAGCAGTAAATTGAACTGTGAAGCGTTTTTCTTCCTCTGTCATGCTCTCGATCGAGCACGTAACTGCGATGTGGTGGTTTTTATTGAAGACGATTTACTACTCTTCTGCTACTGTCAATCGATATTCTGCAGCTGTTTGTGATGGGTTTTTCCGTCACCGAACCAGAACCGTGGTTTCTTTTTTCGTGTGACCGGTCACGTAATCGTTAACAACCTTGCAAACAAGTATATTTGCAACGTGTCCTAAAAATCGATGATAAAAACCGAAGTTCTTATGAGACATTTAGCGAACGTCTATCGATTGTCGAGCATGTGATCGTATCGATCGAGTCGTTTTTGTTATGGATGGATTTTATATCTCAAAGAACTTCGACTAACAACTAGCAGAGGATCTTAGTTCTTCTTTAGATAGCGAGTCGTAGTCCAATCATAGTTGTCCATAACGCCTTATCGTACATGTAGAATCAAGTGTGCTATCAGTTTTTAGACCTCGTTATGTCCCAGTGCTAAATCCACCCTTAGCACTCATTCGACCAAATCGGAGTTTATGTATTTAATAGAAGTGTGTGAAGAGTTTTTCATCCAGTTATCCAGGAGAAATGCTGTTTTTAGGGAGGGATGAATCTGGTGTGATCACACTTCGTGGGATTTGTCTGTTTCTTTATAGCTTTTCCATGCTGTATCACACTTTTTTGCACAGTACTTCGAAGTGCACACTGAATATCTGATCATGCTAACAAGTAACAAATCTTATATCAAACAGATTTTGCTTTCCTACAGGAAGGAACATTGGGGAGCTTACAGGTGAATGTTCTCTGACCTAATCTCACTCATAGTAGGAACCTCAGTTAGTGGTAGGAAGATTCCAGCGTTACTAGTGGTAGGAAGATTCCAACGTTACCATCATGATACATGTTTATGATCGATTTCTTATATTTACGAACCACACATGTTCTCAATTCAGGCTTTACATTGTTGTCTAAGATAATACGACAAAACCTGAAACTACGAAAGGAAAAAACGGTTACTTTGGTTACTATATTGGCATGTATTGGCCTTCTGAACTGCAACTGCCAAAAAAGGGGAAGAGGATATCCTAGGATTTATAGCTTACATCTACCTCGAACCTGCTATTAGTACAGACTAAGCACTCACATTTTGAAGTTTTGTGTCATTTGTTCATTCTGTTTTGAATATTATACTATAAAGTGTTCTCTTGATCCGTCCAGCGGTACTGAAGTACTTCTCTAGTTGTTAGTCACTTAGTCATTTTAATCTTCACAATCGCCTGGGTTAATGCTCAAACTCTCCACTGTCGTAAGTGTAAATTATAGAGTTATCAGCCACACTTTTCTTAATGGTGACATGCCATGGTGGTCTGGATGATCCAACGAGTCCTTCCACATCTTTTTTCTCTGAAAATCTCAATAATAGACGAAGTTGAATAGCTTGTCTGCATATTTATGAAAATTTTTTTCCAACTTGGAAATCCGATTTGTGGTGTGCAAGATGTGATTTTGGGTTGCGGCATTGTGTATATTGAATCCGATGTCATGCGGATGAGTGTTCTGTGTCCTCCACACGTCCTCACAACAACAGCAGATACCCATATAGTGCAGAGATTGATTGGGTCCACGAATGGCAGTTGGTTTTGTTGTCACTTATTCGCGTTGTCCAGTGTACATTGCCATTCTCGGATCACGTGTGCGTTTGATATGGATCGCGCGGAAAATGGCCGCGCCGCTGTCGTCGTGGGCAGTGTCGACAAGCGCTCCAAGGCTGAAAGCTAGGAGGAACCAAATACACAGATCCCAGGCATAACAGTCGTAACTGCCTTACTGTTAGTGACGCAGTAGACTGTATTCTATGTGACTGTGTCCAGAGACCTTGATTTATGTGTTCTGATATCGCTGACAGTGACCACAGTTTGATGCATTTGTCGAATAAACACGTTTTTTCTTGCTGCTACAAGACGCTTTGGATTGCTCTGTGGTTCATAAAGTGGTTCGGAAAGAAATTACGCATTGCTTTGGTTTCAGCTTGCATAGGTGAACCCACACAACACCGCTTTATCAAAAGTACTATAGTTTTGGGTTTTCAGAAGCAGTTAAGTTCTGAAAATCCACATTGGAGACGATATCGACCACCGTTCGCCTCTGATCGTTGATGATGTTGATAATTTTGCTCGTACATCTCAGATTGTGTGCTGGACACATTTTGCTTATATTACAATCACAGCAAAGAAATTTATATGCACATTTAAGTTATTCGAGTACCATTGTGGGTTCTCTAAAAATCGATGGATTAGTATCCGACGGCTGTGTGTAATTATTGAAAGTGAGTATTAAGGAAAATTCAATATGATCACTTTTAGAAGAAACAGTGAGCCGGTAACTTTTCTGTGATTGAGTCTGAGGTGTGAAATTATGTTTTCAAATTGCTGCTCTACTATCGGAGTCCGAAGTCCGATCTTTTCTTTCATATCCTTACCGCTGTTCCTTTCACGAATGAGAAACACTCTGAACGTAAGTGCTGCTTGAAGTGCTTCAATCCGCTGACTAGGAAACTTTGAAATCTGAGGGAAAATACCACACTATTTTTCTGGACAATCTTGCCTACCCTGTATTTTTCTATTCTTAATAGCTTTTCTTACGTTTATTCCTTAGTAGTTTGTAGCGGTTCAACAAAAAATACAAACCGTTAATTACAGTATTTAACTTTTAGGATAATTTTTCGGTCAATAAAGTATTTCAGGACCAAATTTTATACATTTGTAGAAGAGATTTTGTCATGTTGCACTTATCGTATCGATAATGTCCATAGTGTTCTTTCAAATTTGAATAGCGTGTTTATTATAATATAGCTTAGTCATATTTAAAGGTGCTTAGAAGGCTTTTTAAAAAATCATGACTAAATTTACGAGCTTTAAAATTTTCAACGTAAGAGCGTTAAGTACAGCTATGAACGTATGACACATCTGAAACATCATGTCCTGGCGGACGAAATCGTGTTTACTCATTTGATTTGGTGTTCGGAATGTGACGTTTGAATCAGGAAAGTGGAAAGAATGTATGTCATCGACTCCAGAAAATCAGAATTCCACTACCATATAGCACGAGAACTTTTGTTTCATGGGCAGATTTGTAGATTCTAATATTTTTTATTGCACTTAACAAAACTCTCAATGAACTAAGATTTGTTAATCGATAATTCACTGTTTTTCTTGGTGAACAAACACGAGATTGTTACTTGAGGTTTGATTAGTACACAGTCGATTTTACACCTTAAGAATTACCACACTAGCAATATAATTTACGATTGTTAAAGCCCTCAATATTAACAAGTACACGTTCCACATGGTACTTGCATTAACAGTCGACGACGCCTAGTCTCGGTTTTGTTGTGGACAGAACAGCACCTAATTTGCAGCGTCTGTGGGCTTGCTGGACTTTTAAAAGTAAACAGTGATTTTGAAAAATATTTTTTCTGTAAGTAGAGAACTTCTTGTGTTATGGAAATGAGTGGATTGTAGAAAACACTTTTCTCTCTCATCTAATAGGCATGAATGGTATTTATGATGAAATTTACTGTGTATTACCACAGTCCGTCACGCAAACATTACTTTACAGGCCTCTGTGTCAGTATTTGTTAAACCCGAACACTCAATGCGCTAGCTGTCATTCATCATAGATAGCAATTAGATTTGAAATACTAGTTGATTAACAATTAAGTTTCGGATAGGACTCGTTCGAAAACTGCTTTTTGTATATGTATAGGTGCAGAATACAGCTTTTCTCAACCAACGCTAACACAGCATCTACGTTTTACAGACTATCAATTGATAGCAAAAAGTATAGGAAAAGAGTCCTATGAGTTAGGATGAACAACCGGAAAGAAAGCGAAACCTGTTGGCGTCATACCAGCCACTTTCACAAAACCAGTATGACAACTACAGGTGTCACTAGCCGGGAGAGCGCCGAAATTACTACCTACTTTCATTACATGTGATTATTATTGGAACCATCTGCACAGGAATGTTTGTTGTATTGGTTGCATGTTGAGTATTTTTTATGCCATCGGGGTCGAAGTCCTAAATTCTTGCTAGGAATTGCTATCGGAAAAAAGTGAAATAAATCATGAAGAAGATCATTTACTCGCAGTGGTGCAAGTGGAGGAGGTTATTCGCCAGAAGCAGGTGATGGACAAAGAGTTTCCAAGTATACTGGTGAACTCACAGAACCACCTGCACGTGGTGACTTTGGAGTCATAGGTGTCACAGTGACCACAGCGAAAAGATAGGCGTCGTCACGGAAGTGTTAAATGGTATACAGCGACATCGATTCGTCTGCTACAGCTAGTTTCTTTCTAGAACACTATACAGTTAAAATTTGACTTTATTGAATAATAGTAGCATTTTTAAGGACAGTTCGAAAAAAAAAAGTGAGAGTGATACGATGAGAGGGCGGTTGGACCTCATCTATAGCATTTGCGGTAAATAAGTACACATGTGTGTTGTGATAGCATAGTAAATTCCAAATTTGGAAGTGGATCTTAAAAATAATCTGAAAGTTTTCACGAGTCCAAGGCAGTTATTTATATTGCTTATTGCTTTTATTTATTCCTGCCAATTTATACGAAACGTAAATTCTGACACCACCCAACTAGTCTCGATCTCCTTTTTTCTCCTTGTAGAGTAATTTTTACTTGTTTTAGCTACTTAAACGAGTTTCGAGTAGAGGCATGTCCATTATTCAAGCAACATCAGTGCCAACAGCACAGACCGTACACCTGCTTTAACTGGCACTTCGCTAATCAAAGAAGAAGAAGGTTGGAAAATTAATCAAGTTACGGTTGGAGTATACTTATTGATGTGCACTTTTAAGTAATAAAAATGTGGAGATTTTACTTCACTTTGTACCACAAATTAACCGTTTTTATTTCTTTGTCATATGGCTACACTTATTTGATACGTGAATGGTCATTTCCCACGACTAAACGTGCGGACCTCATTAAAAGTCCACTTTACTGATATTTTGCAGAGGGGCAGGATTTTTTCCGTTGAAACAACAAGGTAGATCTACTAGGGTGTTCCTAGATCTTCACCACTCTCACTTCTGTGTTGTTGTGAATCTAAGAGATTTACCGCTTTGCGATCTGTGTTCATCGACGAAGTCCGCATTTCCCGTTAAGGACTTAGCGTTTTCTGTATGTACAAACTATACCAATACCTATAACGCGTTGATCGTTTCAAGGGAACGGAAGTAATCTCTCCATTCGTACACGTGGTGCACCAGAGCTGCTTTGTAGGCTGAAATAGCATATAGATCCCGCATTTTTCATAAGATACTCTTTCTTATTGCTCTTTTTTGGTTTATGGAAACCCTTGGGAAACTCAAATGTTCTGACATAGCATAGATTTACGCTTTACTGGCCTTCCGGATGTGAATATAGGACTGCTCACTTCGTGTACTTTTCGTTCAACATCAGAGTTCGAAATCCAGTTACGTTGAGGCGATAAACAACGAAGGGTAGCGGATGTGTAGCTAACGAAGTTGTTATTAAGACCATAATCAAGGTATGCAACACGATGTTTGTGTAGTGTTTCTAGATGAATTATGCATAGAACGCAGCCACCGCACTATAAACTAAGCATTAGAATAGGCGTCAACAAAAAATGTTTTAGCTGTAACATACAGAACAAGAGATAACCTGCGTTCTTCCAGAGTGTGAAGGACCTTCGATCGTTATATGTCCGATATAAAATAATTCAACCAGTCTGTTTCATCACCTCTAACCATGTTACCCATTAAATTACCCAATTGGATCACCAGTGAAGTATCAGTATATCCCTTCTGCGTTCCACAGCCACCCATTGAGCATCGTTCGAGGAATACGAGTGTCGAACTTTTTATTTGTGATACATTATTCCTTGTGTTTTAGACTAGAGACACCGGCACTAGTTCGCCACGCGGTGAGCGTATATTTTGACACGTATGAAAGGTTCCTGGTCATTTGCGGTGTATGCATAGTGCTTAATTGTTGAAGGCGACTTCGACCTGCTTTTGTTGCATTTCCTAGTCACTTTATTAAAGACTGTTAACCTTATAAATGTGAAACATACAAATTATATGCAAGGAGATCCCGTTTCTTGAATCCTCACTTTCTTGACATGGTGCGTACCAAGTCGTTTTTAGTCGTCCTTCCTTTTGTTCAGCTATAGACTTGCGTCATATTATCGCAGCTGGTTCGAATTCCATCATATCAGTGAAATCCGTGCAATAATTGGATATGTCCAGAAAACGAATATTTTACCGTAACATTGTCTGGGAGCGTCTGGTGGTGACGTCACGCTTTTGAGCCCTCAGTTCTCAGTCGTTTTCTTCCGCTTGCTTCACTTTTTCAATTAGGTGCAGGTCTCTGTAGCGCTATACATACTTACTTGGATACTTGGACGGTCCGTTGCCATTCGTTCCTTTCTCTCGCAATCGTGGTCTATGGTGGTGGTCTTGTTCGAGTATGGTAGCGCTTGCGAATCTCATACCGTGATCTGTAAAGCAACTGTAGCTGCGGGTACAGCTGATTAACATTGTTTACGAGCACGTCCGTTCAACGTGTAGGTCGCCGTCCTAGAGGACGTTTGCCTTCTCTTAGAGTCCATTCTACTGTTTTTTTCGTCCATCTGTTGTCTGTTCTTCTCATTATGTGACCGACCCATCTATGTTTCTCTGTCGATGTGCATTCTCCTGGATCTCGAAGTTGTGACAGATTTCGAAGGTCAGAGCTTCGCATTGCGGCTACATATTGAGAGTGCTGGTTATATTTCAGCTTATTTGCTGGTTATTTTCTTACATATATATATATATATATATATATATATATAAGGAGGTGCGCGTAGCGCTTTGGCTAGATAGCTAGAGATGCCTTTCAGTACGCATGGCTATCCCGTGACCCAGGTTTACGAATCCTTGCATCCTTCTGGAGTCGGCGAATTGACGCCAGACTTGCGTCCTGTGCGACGAAATTTCGTTTTCGCATCATTGTTCGAAATACGTATCTCGACGAAATGAAAATCGCAAAAGAAAACAAACATCTTGAGTTCTTCAGAAAGTCGGATTTTTATCTTGCCAGAAGGAGAAAATTTGCATCTTATTAGCAAGGATTTTAATATGGTTATATAAATTTGCCAGATTCTGCCCCTTTCGTTCATTTACATCTCGAAGTCAATGCTTATCTTCGCAGGTAGGTTAATAACGCTTCGCCGAAAAAATTAGGAATTAGGTCTAACTCCTTTTACTCACTAGATGTGAGTAATGCGTATTTTTGTCAAACACCGAATTGAATTTAATCCTAAAGGATTGTATTTGAATTTTGTGTAAATTCCGAGATTTTGTTTGCTACTGAAAATTATGATGTTTGGAGGTGTTGACCGTGGGATTTTGATCGGTAATAATTTTCAGGCCTCAACGTAAATCGGACGGTTCGTTCAATTACTCACCTGACATTTATTGTGATAAATATGATGAAAATACCGGCATTTGTCCCGACGGTGACGAGTGAGTCATATTGCATTTATCTCTAATAACTGTGGGATTTATAGACTAGTGACTTTATTTCTCATGCTTTTTATCTCTATACTAAAATTCTAGTTTACATTGAGAATGCTCAGATGCATGTATCTACATCGAGTTTCCGGGGACGTTGAACGAAAATATCATCTGCGGTACTACAAAACTGCTCAGTGTGTACATCCAACAGACTCTCGTGGACAATGTGTGAAGGTGATTTGTGACTAAACATAAGGGCATAAAAAAACATCTGCATGATTTGGTTGCTTCATGTTCCTCGCTCATATTCCTTACCTTTTGTTTTCCGAGCCATTTTTGTGTCTTTTTTGTCTAAATGGGTCTTTTTTACTGGTTCTGAAAAATTATGTGGGAACCTATTGAGAGAATAGTAAGCTTAAATTGGATATATGCAAATTATGTTAAAAAGAAGTTCAAGAAACAGTGAAGAGAAGGAGATAGTGGTTAACTGGTTTCGTCTTATTTCCATGTGTCATGATCCAGAGTAAACGTCTGGTTTCAGAACGGTGCTCATTGCGCATTTGCTCATTCATCGGCGGACTTGCGACAACCACAGGTGTGTGCAAAATATGTTTTAGTTATTCTGACATCCACCTAGTTCGCTAGGAATAAACAAATTGCAGTTTGATCAACATGAAGCGGGCTTTTCGACGACCATGGATGGTGATGGACGCGATAGAACCAGCTTTGTAATCGAGGACCCATTGTGGCATAGTGAGTGGCTTAAATAGTTCTTGAACTTAGTACTCACCTAATATGTTGGAGCTTAGTATCTGTGGATTCGGAAACAAAAACTAACTTGGCTACGTTTCTTAAAGCGCGCTCACTCGCTTTCTTGTCGGAATACATTCAATATTTTTGTTTAGAGGTCGGGACAAATTCGAGTTTTATGTCCATCAATTTGCTTTTATTAAAAATCGAAAGTTTTTGAGCAACTACCAAAAATTATTCGTCAACCAGAGTACATGACAATTTGAAAACATTACAGGTTTCTTTTGAAAGCACATAGAATCCAAAATTTCCACATGGCAATGAATTTCTTGTTGCACTGATTCAGTACATCTGTAATACTTTTGTCATCTGTAGTAGCGTTAATCACTGAGTAGTTTGAAAACGCACCAAATCTCCATTCGTCCTTATCGCCCGCCAAAGCTGTCGAGAGGGCTCGGCTAACTGATGTTGCAGAAGGGAGCATCATATTTGACACGAGGCATTTCATTTTTTATCGATTTTGATAGGTAATTAGATACCGATACATCGCTAAATTATGCTGCAGTTTCGTCGTCGAATTCAGCAGAACAGATGACTTAGGGTATTAATTGTTGGTGTGCATCGCAGTTCAGCACCCCACGAACGGGCCTTGTGTTTTTGGATACGCAACCATCACGTCAGGATTCACTCGCTATTCTTTCAGCTCAATGTTTCCAATTCCGCCATCTCGTGCGTGAACTCTGTTTTTGTCTTCGTGTCGCCTATTCCTACATGTTGTCGTGTACTACTGTACTCGAACGATCGTCAATGAGCAACAACCGTATTGTTGCTGAATGCATGCAAACATCTCGTCGTGGCGCCGCTAACGGGCTGGTCACGCGCCGGCAAGAGAGAGCGAACTGAAAAGTGCACTCTAGCGTGCAAAACACCACCGCGTGACTCAACAACATTAACTGTTATTGTATAGACTGAAACTTCAGTAGCACTTTGGAATCCATCTCTTGTGTGGTGGGAAAGCAGATGTTCGTTCTTTAAGTCGTTCACGCGTGGTGATTATAAATGTAGTGAACATTAGTACTCTGTACAAGATTACGGGGGAACAACTGGCGAAGAAGCCGCTCCATCGATTCCATCTCCCAAGGACTTGGCATGTGAAACCGCTCGCTTCGGCGAAAAAAGTCGCTGCAAGTGCTCGGTGCTTTTTCTGCTATGGACATAATAACATTATGAGAGTTTTGAACAAACAGTGCTTGGCTGCTTTAATGTTTTGGTTCAATTTTTCGTTATCATAGGTCTATTGTCCACATGTGTCATATTCATGGGATGGTCTGCGGCTTTGTTAACGCGAATCTTTCTTCTTACATTGGTATTAAAGCGAGATCAGTTAGGTGTCTGTCAGGGTTTGTTGCGACAGAGTCATCTGTAACCATTATTTGTACTAGCGACACACTCACGGCAATGAGATTTATGGAGTTCTCTTTTTCTTTTTCTAAAGCTCGGAATATAGAATTCTAATAAAAGAGTGGATAGAATTTTATTCGAAATAGGACGATGTGAAAGGGAACTCTGTAATAGGACTTTGAGTGCATTTCTGAGTACATTCATAAAATTTGCGATTAATGTGATATTAATAACGACGGCAGTGGGGTGTATGGGGCAGAGGTTGGAGGCGCTCTGCTGCATAGGGCATCGATCCCCACGCCCCAGGTCCCTCAAGCCCCTCATTCCTCCAGGGTCGGTAAATTGGTACTAGACTGTAAAGGTCAGCTATGCACTCAGTCATCTCCAACGGTGCTTAGTGAAGTTGAATGCATGGCGCATCCCTCAGGGATTGATCTACGCCGAGAGCTTTATCCCTTTTAATAACGATAGCGAAGGGTCTTTGGGTTGGTACGGAACAATTAAGTGTGGTTTGATCTCCTTTCTTTTCTCCCAAACAGTAGTTTAGGTATGGATGAAATTGTACCACTATTCAGAAACACTCGCACCGATGAGAACACCAAATTACTAGTATATTATTAATTTGCTTTCACATTAAAATGTTTCAGTAGTAATGAGGCTGTGTCAATACACATTAACACTAGTTGGAGACACGTAATTTCCAAAAAATTATCAACGTTTGTCACAAGCCACCATTGGAATTGACTGTGTCTATTAAATAAAAATAATTTTTTTTTGCCACGTTATAGACGTTTGAATGACCCATCTTTATGATTGCGTTCAAGTCTATTCCCATCCAACTAGTGTGGTGGTGATTCTACCAGATATCGTTTTCCTGGAATCCCGATAAACCCGTCCAGTTCCTTGACCTTATGATCGGACTTGCAGCATTGGGATCACTTTTCTTAGCAGACGGTGGCGATTTCTTACATATGTGTGCTTATAGCTGGTCTTCCAGATAGTAATATTGAAGTCGTCATCGTTTGTGGTCCCTAGCGAAGAATGAACCACTGTTGCATCAGCTCTCCCATCCTCACCCGGGAAGACTAAATCATCGTGAGTAGTAGGCCACTTTAGAGAAACCTTGTGTTGGTAACGAAAAATCCTAGGAAGTCCATCAATGTTATCAACCTTTCGTCTTGTATATTACTCTTTTGCACAGTGTTTTATTTCGGCTCTCTTTTTGATATTCAGCATTCTTCTGTCAGCTGTAAAAAAAATGTTTGCAGAAGTTAAGCTCTTTGACTGTTTCCTTTTTGCAGATCTTAAAGATTTTAATACCTTGCGATTTCGTACCCATACGTCATGAGTTCTAAAAAACAAAATTTTACCATATTTTCTTTCAGGTCAAGACCATGTACTCTCATGCTACAAGACGGAACAGTGCCGCAAACCAGCTCGACTTTGTCGTCAAGGTTATGCGTGTCCTTTTTACCACAATTCGAAAGACCGACGGCGACCACCTGCTTTATGCAAATACAGGTCGATCAATCACCTGCTTTTTCTTTTAACTATACACTCATTTCAAGTGGTTGCATATGTTTAGGTCTACTCCATGTCCAGCTGCAAAAACGGTTGACGAATGGTTGGATCCAGAACTTTGCGAAGCTGGTGACGCTTGTCAATATTGTCATACTCGGACGGAGCAGCAGTTCCATCCTGAAATCTACAAGAGCACAAAATGTAACGACATGCTTGAGGTAAACGTTTTTGTAAAGGGTTTCTGTAAAAGAGTTGTAAAGGGGTAAAGAGTTTATGAAAATAAAGCGATTTTATCCAACTAACTATTTTTTTCGAGGAGCTACTGTATAGTGGCCCTAAGTTAGCAGCTGTTAATGACAGTGTTCCTTGAGTTAATATTTATTTTATCGGTAAAAAAATTGATGTGTGGGATTGATGTGTAGTACATAAAGTGTTTCCTCCTATGCTTTTTGAAACACTGAACCAGTTGAAAACGAGAACATTGACGCTTCACTGAGAAATAGCTTAATAATTTGCTTGCTGAGATTATTAATAAAGTCATTTTATAACTACTATAATGCTGAGATATTTGCAAAACTCCGGACCGCAGGTGTATGCGGCGGGGAACGAACGCGCTATTATCCTTTCCGGGGAGTGACGCGTTCACCACCACACCATGCGAGTCCTTCGTTTCGCTAGTCTCTCAGCTAGTCCTATCTATCACTTGCCATCAACAATAACCAGTCAACTGGGTTGGGTCTGAAGAGCCCTAAACGGCGTTGAACCCAGTTATGCTAAGGCTATAGTTATAATCACAGTCTTAACCTTTATATTTAGTGCTTATTCTTTTTAACGGCAGGGTGTGTTGCGAAATATAACTTCTATAATGCTGAGATATTTGCAAAACTCCGAACCGAACCACAAGCGTCTGCACTGGGGAACGAACGCGCTATTATCCTTTCCGGGGGATAACGCGTTCACCACCACACCAAGCGGGTCCTTCGTTTCGCCTGTCTCTCAACTAGTTCTAGCGATCTTTTCATTTTATAAAGTCATTTTATATTTTTGGTGGGGGCGCGTGTAGTGCGGTGATCGAAGGCGCCTTGCAATACACATGGGATCGATCCCTGCAACCTATGCACACCACGTCCTTCATCCTTCCAGGGTCGGTAAATTGGTACCAGACTTCTCTAGGAGGAAAACAGCATTGACTCGATACTTCGATAAGCCACCACGAGCCTTTGTAAAGGCCAGATTGCATTCAGTCACCTTCAACGATGCATAAGGAAGTCGAACGCATGGAGAATTCCTCTGGAATAGATTAACGCCGAGAGCCTTATCCTTTATCCTTATATATTTTTGGTGTCGAAAATCGTAAAATGCGTTGATTTGTAGATCTTTTGGATGTAATAAAGAAATGTGAGAGATATAAGGGTGTGCAGCAGTGATATTCTGTCATCAGTTGGTGACCAGTTGCCCTGTTATGGGCACAATTGCAGGAAGCTTGGGTGAAAGACCACGAGTTCTCGCAAGCAGATTGTTTTCTTGTTTTGGTTTTACCGGTATTCATAAATTTTGCCAATGCGATTCACGTGGTTAGCTTATTTTCATGGAGCTCGTTTCTCGTTAGCGTATTTCTCAGCACATATCTACAGCATCTTTCAAGAAAATATTATTGTGCAGTTAAAATTATCGAAATAGTCGTCACTTTTTTATTTACGTTAGAGCGGTGTTGTGGTGAACGCTTTAGCCCCGAAAACAGCTGTGGCGTGTTTGATTTCCACCGCAGACACCAACGGTCCGGAGTTTTGCAAATATCTCAGCATCTTCCCATGACCGACTTTCTTTTAACCTCGGCATTGATTGATAATTCGATATTTTTCTTCAATAAGCAGACACGAGGTTGTTATTATAGGATTTATTAGGATGCAATAGCTGACGTTTCGGCGGTTTCGCCTTCTTCAGAGCCTGGAAAGGTCAAATTGAGATGTGATCTACCCAGTCAAAGACTTTCATAACCCCAACATGTGAAACTTAACAAATAAATTTGTATTCGCATAAGAAACAGCTTCATTTAAACACTTACCGTTTATTTGTTGTAAGTATTTAAGTTAGTTGATGGATAGCAGCCGCACAGAGTAATACAAGGGCGATAACTGTCTGTGTCAGGTCATTGGATTAGCCTGAGGTATGGCGCCAGGTCACGCGTGATGACAAGACACTCCTCTTTGCGGTTCATTTTTGAATTTTTGGCATTGATCCAAAACGCTTCAAGAGTTTTACGCGCTGATGTTTTTGATTCGTGCATGAGGATAGTGACTCCTACTTCAAAATCTTTTCCGTTTAAATTAAAACCAAACACTCCACTGGGCGCGCATAGGATGCAGGAACACAACGGAGAAGATTTCGAAGTAGGAGTCACAACCAGGCCCTGAAGAAGGCGAAACCGCCGAAACGTCAGCTATTGTATCCTAATAAATTCTACAATAACAACCTCGTGTCTACTTATTGAAGAAAAACATCGAATTATCTCAGCATCATTATGATTATTGAAATAGTCTTGATCCAACCGTAATAGCACATCCATCTTAGCTTTCCATTGGCGATATGAGGACAGTGTAAAATGTGAAAACTGTACTGTAGAACACTTGTCCAAGCTGTCCCGTAGAACACTTGTCGGTACTGATCGCATGCAGCCATAGACCTTCCTTTTTTGACCAGCAAATTTTCCAATGTTTTAGTTGAACAGTGTACGTTGTACACTACTTGTTATGCAGTTCTACGACATAGGAACTTCGCTTACCTAGTAAAATTACCAAGCTTCGGGGTGTATTGCCATTCATGGGACTGTAGCTTTTGAATGAAAACGATGTTCACTAAATTTTCCTGGATAACAGCTTTGAAGAAAGGCACACATTGGATTAAAAAATAGAGCACCACAAAATATTGTTCACGAGAAGATTGAAGAATATTTCAGCATGGATACTGTCCACGTGCAGTGTTTTGTGCATTTGCACACCACGATTCAGAATTGCACGTGCAACGAACACCCTATGTAACGAGTAGTCAGGCTAGCCCTAAAGAACAGTGCAGTCCAAACGCTAATAGAGGTACACTTTTTTTTAGCGTTGATTTTTCTTTGTTATTTACTTTTGTACGTAATGCTTCTTTCGTAGCTTCCAAAATAAGGTCAGCATTCTTCTAAAAGGCATTTTGGACTTATGTAGTGTCAAAAATATTCCGTTCCCAACCATTATCCTTCGGAAATCAGCGGCGTGATTGGTATTGAGCATTAGTGTCTTAATGCGATTAGAACAAAGGCTCACAACAACGTTTCCAGGCGATAATCTGCGATTCGGTTCCCCGATTTCCAACGGCACTACAACTCCAACGTATTCGGTACAGTTCCATTTCTTTTTGTAATACATTTGGATACTTGGTTGGCTCATCTTCACTGGTTGTTCAGGCCCCAACATAATTTCCATTTTTTGGGATTTTGCTGGCATAGCCTTAGACTATACACTACACTTACACTGTAGATGCTGAATATTATCCACATTTTGAATGAATAATCAATATCTGATGACGATGAGTGACATTTGCACAAACAGAGGACGAGATCGAAGCTAAATTACGATTAGTAAGGTCAATATACTACTAGCAACGTAAAACTCCTTCACAGCTTACCGTCTACAGGTCCCAGTATAAGATTACTTACTTACTTGATACTTGAACGGCCCGTTCTCACTTGTTGTGCGGACCCCTAACATAATCTCCATTTTTTCGGAGTTTTTCCGGTTCAGCCACCGTGGTTCCCTGGAGTTCCGAAGTAAGCCAGGCCAAGCTCTGCCCCGGGTCTTCACCACCACAGGCAGTGGCCGGCCTTTGTGGATCAGAGGGGATTTGCCACCACGAGACTAGTTGCATTCCAGGACGGTGGTGGTTCCTGGTACTGGTTTACTGTTAACTGGGCTTGACTTGGGAAACCCTGCTAGGAGAATGAATCCCTCCACTGTACCTCGCAGCCTGACACCCGGGAACGCCTCCCAGCAACGATGAGTCGGTAAACCATTAGGAGGGTTTCCATTCTAATAGTGAAATTTTAAAAGGGAACTATTCTCACTGATTTGTGGACTAAAAGCAACCAAAGGTTTTTAGTCTGTTCTCAAACAGCGGCATCCAATGGTTTCCAAAGGCTACTCGGCAACTACTGATCAGATCTCTAGTAGCTATCCGAAAGCGCCTGGATACGAGCGCGGACCACTTTCGGTATGTCGTTCTTCATGTTGTGACTAGCCTATAGAGATTTAGGTTTCCTTCGTCTAAATTCGGTTATCATGACAATTATGCATACGTTTTCCACTTGACTAGATTACTGCATCCCAACAACTATTGCGTTTGATTTTAATTTTCCGGTTCTACTTTTGCATCTTGTAATAGATCTGGCGTCTTGCATCCATTTATTTACAAGGGGCGAAAATAATTCTCAGCGGTACAGTAAAGTTGATAAGTGTACAAGCAGTGGTACAAGTATGCGGAAGTATTTTTCTCATTTTTCCACTTTGGTCAGGACGCTGCGTGTGGCGCTAGCCACAGGTTGGAGGCGCCCTGCAGCACACATGGGATCGTTCCCCGTGCCCAAGGCTCATCAAGCCTTCCATCCTCCGGGGTCGGCAAATTGGTACCAGAGTTGTCTGGGAGAATAGCAACGCTAGGTACATCAATAGGCCACCACGATTCATTGTAAAGGCCAGATATGCCTTCATTCACCTGAAAACGATGCTTAATGAGGTCGAATGCATGGCACATCCTTCAGGGATTGAGCAACGGAAATTTTTTTCATTTTTTATTATTTATATTTTTTCATATTGCTGAAGAGCTTTATTTTTTTATCTATTCCACTTTGGCTCATCTCTGTTTGCATCGCTATCAGTCTTGAGCACACCTCTTTTCTCATTCCCTTTTTTCCTTAAATGCTCTTTGGTGTCTGTATAATTTATTAAGTAATATGAACAATGTAATTCGCTTTGTTTTCAGCCAAATCGGAATAATGAATCATCGATGGGAAGATTGCGTACACACTCGTTGAACATGGCACATATGGATATTGGGAGACGTTAGTTTCTTTATAGTGGCTTAACAACAAAGGCCACTCTTTATCAGTTAGTTTCATTAAGGATGCAACGTTAGCGGTTTTGAAACGGTTCCTGGTAGTTCACTTCCTTCTCATTCTTCACTTTGTCGATCTGATAGCGGTTTTCATGCTGTGACTGGTAGGTTGTAATTTGTTTATTTCCTAACGTGTATGTTTTTTGTTTGAGTTTTTTCGTATGAGAACTTATTGTGCTATTGCTGAAACTACAACGTTTCAGAAGAACTAACACTTGATTTGGCTCCGATAGAAGAGCATCAAAAACCCCTCACCGAGCTATTTTCTGGCAATTGTAAGTTGTTTTTCAATAACTCGAAAGACCGACTTTCTATAAACCTCGGCATAGATAGTTGATATATTTATTTATGTGATCTTATAAACCGATCTTCTTAAGCTGACGCTAGGTTAGTACAGATCTTCGTTGTAGTTGTCGTTTTTTTTTTTCAATAGTTCTTGAGCAGTTATGGTCCCTGTGCAGTTTTACGAGCTTTGTTTGTATGTAACTCTTATTTTCTACATGGGAAAGCTAGGTTTTTCTCTAGAATCTTCATCTATCAGTTTTTAGAGTAATTTTACATCGAGACATCACTTCAACTTCATTTGTTTTCTCATTAGTCCTTAGTCCATTTGAATGCTAATAGGTTTAATCTCGAATTACACATCATCTTTAGTGAGTGGATATGGAAACTAAAGGGAATTTCATAAACAGGAGAAACTGTGGGCCAACACTTTTTGTTCCACGATGTGGAAAGTCGAGCAGTTTTGCATCGTCGCCGTCGACTAGGCGCATGGAGTGCGTATCATGCATTACATACTATATCGACCAGTTCAAAACCGGTTCGGTCACGCTTTCAGGATTTACAAAGTATCTCTCCCCTCCTGGGGTTGACACATTTGTACCGCACTTGTCTGCGAGGAAAAAAGCACTGCCTTGATATATGGGTAAGCCAACAAAAGCCATTTACAGGCTGGATATTCATTCAAACACTTCCACATCTACTCTAAGGATGCCAACAATTCTTGCATTCGATTCGCTTCCTCGCATTCATTGTCCGCAAAGGTCCACAAATTTTTTTGCACGTGGGTCCGACTTTTTCTGGAGGATGTTCCTTAGGTCATGAATGTCGTTAAATGTACGTTGAGTCTTGTTTCTTTGGAGTCCTGAGATAGCCACGCCAGAGCTTTTGCACTTGGCATGCAGACAGTGAGCTTTTCCCGGCCAAGTCTTATACCATTTTCTGGACCCTAAAGAGATGAGAGGCTTGGTGAGCCCAGGGCGGGGTGAATCACCGTGCGCCTTGGATACCAGGACGGTGGTGAATCCTGGTATTGTTTTACTCTTAGCTAGGTTTCCTAACGGAAATGCCGGACTCCTCAGCTTGTGAGATCCTGCCGGAGGGTGGAGGACGAATCTGCCCGCTGCACATCGCAGTCCGAAGCCTAGGAACACCTTTCAGCCACGATGAGGCGGTAAACCGTTGGGTGGCTGTTATGTATCTGGGTCAAGAAGTTAATGTGATGGGCGACTTAGAAGAAGCGTGCAGACTGAATGGCTTTCAAGAGCATCGACTGGGTAGTAACAAGGACTAAGAGCTTGGTCGTTACCTATTCAAGTTGGGGAATAACTCCGCCCTATCCAACGCGCAGTCGGGATGGCAGCCTGGGAGTAACCCGTCTAACGCAAATGGCAGAGTGAATCCGAAGTTCGGATCAATATCAGTGATATAATATTAAAGACTTCGTTTTGCAAGAAAATTGTCGAAAGTCAGGTGGGCTGGATGCGTGATGCATATAAATGGCAACCGTTGGCGAAGATCCGATGACGACAGTGTTTTCACTGGATATCAAGCTCAGAGTAAGAAAACCATCTAACCAGTGGTCATAAATTTTTACGAAGGTTCTAGAAGAAAGATGCGGTGCTCGTCTTTCCTCTTGAACAAGCACAACCCACCAGGCTATTCTAGATAGAGAAATGGAAACTTTGTTCAGCGATGAACTTGAGGAGAAGTGACATGTCGTGGGCCTATATATGAGTAGTGCTATAACATAGCAAAGTTTGGTGAGGTACCTGTGTCTGCTTACTCTTCATAAGAAGTAAACTTCAAAGGTGAAAGGCGTGACATCAAAACCATGGTGCAGTCCATTCTCTCAAGCGAGTAGATTTCACTAGGCAGTTCAAATATCTGAAAGACGGAAGTGGAGATTTAAATGATTGTATGCACTAGTTGGGTCATTACTTAGTTTTTAAAACTGAACTGGTAGTGAAGATTGCGGTTAACTGGAAATTTCCTAGTGATTGCGAAGCACCTTCCAACACTTTACCGTATCATCGTGGTTGGGAGCTGTTCTTGAATATCGCGCTACGATGTACAGTGGGGGAGGGGGTTTATTTCCTCTAGCAAGGTTTCCCAAGCTGAAAAGGAGTCCAACGTTTCCGTCAGAAAGCCTAATTAAGAGTGAACCAATGCCAAGATCCACCACTGTCTTGGTATCAAATTGTTCACATTGTGGCAAATCTCTCTCTAATCCACAAGGACTGCGACTGCCTGCGGTGATGGCTTGGGGCAGACTTTGACCTGGCTGACCTCGTGATTCCCGGAAGCCACAATGGCTGAACCGGAAAAATCCAAAACACTGGAGATTATGCTGGGGCAAACACAACTAGTGAGCACGGGCCATCCAAGTATACAAGCAAGGAGGTAAGATTGCTAAGCAGTATTTTCTTCGTATTTTTGTTGAGCAAACGCGAGGTGTTACTATTCTTTGTTCACGATTAAGCTGACGTTTCGGTGGATTTCGCCTTCTTCAGAGCCGCTTTCTATGAGGTTTCCACTAAGTATGTCACGTAGAGACCAACCGCACAGAAATCACGTGGAAGTATAATGTCATTATGTCATATAATCCGCCGAAACGTCTGCTTAATCGTGAACAAAGAATAGTAACACCTCGCGTTTGCTCAACAAAAATACGAAGAAAATCACTTGATCAATGCCGAGGTTAATAGAAAGTCGGTCGTGGCAGCTAAGCAGTATAATAACATCAGGTGAAAAAAAACATTACTAAAGCAAAGGGAACTAATCTGTGATTGAAATGAGCATTTAATCGTTATTCTGGCATTGTATTTCAAGCACAGTTTCAAGTAAAATCTACCATATGGTTTTCTTATGTGTAATACCGTGCATTGGAAAGCCATGTAATTGTTTAAGAATGTTCTATAAATGGAATACTCACTTACACACCAGCTCCAATTTTAGTATCATCTGTGTCCTCGCCAATGCGTATTCCTGGTGCCGATTCATTTCATACTTCACCGTTGACCTCGTTCGGTGAAATCCTCTTCGGTACAACAAAGTCGTTGCTCACAACGCCATCGCAAATCGCTGCGTTTGAAAATCAGGTTGGTGTGCTACCATTTTTTTCTCTTTCTCTGTTATTGTCTCATTTTATAGTGGAAGTAGAGTTTAACCACAATGGTGTACTAACATGTCGCACCACATAATCGGGATTCTCCGTCAATATATCCACGATACTCATGAACCTTAATGCTTATGCTACGAAAGAAGTGTTCGTTTTGAATGTTGAGCCAGCTTGCCTGATATTGAACTTCATCAACTGAAGTGAAAGCCGCTGTTCGCAGCTAGAGGTCTTTGCTGACAAAATATAAATTCTGTTATTCTACCAAAATAAAATTCTAACTTTTCTGAGCTAAACTTACTTTTCTACTGTTTTCTTGTTCGAGCAGTTTTGTGTGTTGAAAACGGAGACAGTTGGACAATCGAGATTTCATCCAGCAGAACCCGATAACACTTTTCAGTGTTTTCCAATGTTCTGTTGGTTTTTGCGATCTTTATGTTTAAGTGATGTTGAGTCTTGAGAGAATCTGAGTAAATTTCTGCAGAGTACTTAGTTCAGTAATGTTTTTGACAACTGAGTTTCGAAAAGCTGTTGAAGTTTTTAAAAAAACAATCATTTAGTAAGAAACAGTAGTATACGCACGACGAAACTCTGGGATGACTAGTTGTTTGACTAGTCCACATTCGCAAGAATTATGAATCAGAATATGTTCTTTTCATCCTTCTGGCGCTTCTGTTTCTTGCTTTTGTCCATCTTCATTGCATGTTCCAAACTCATGTCAGCTCGTTCTAATTGCTCATTCATTAATCATATTTGCTATCCTTTGTATTAGGTAATTAATCTTCATAAAGTGGTTTTTTTGTGTTGACGATCACAGTAGTCTACTGAATGCTTTTGAAAATAGACCTGTATCGTTCTTAAGTCGTTGTGGAGTTATTGTATATACTCCCTTTGCGATAGAAGTCCATTCTAGAGGGAAGTAACGCCACTGGAATATAGGTCGTTTCGAAACGTCTGTTCTCCGCTAGCGATTCTAAATGAGTGTGAAGTAGTTGTACTACTGCTGTTCATGTGCAGTTAATTCTACTTTTCTCAGTTGTGTCTTTTTTTTTCCTTTTTGAAGGGTCTAATGAATGTCCTTATAAAAGTAATGTCAAAACGTTGTCCATCTTAAAGGCATTTTTTGAAACCTATAAACTCTAATAATTGTTACATTAAAAATGGCTTCATTTTTTCTTTTGACGACCCACTGCAGTTCTGTAAAAATTTTTGAGAACATAGTAATCGCTGCTGGTAAAGAAGCGTAGAGCAGTGGAAATAGTTAGTCCTCATTTGTGTAATTTGTTAACAGTCCTATATGGATAGATCCATAACGCGTAAACAGAACGAGCCGTGATCTTTTTCTCCTGGAAATGCAGTGCTAATGATCTGCATAGACTTTTTACGTATCGCTCTAGTTATGCCGTGGGATCATAAAATTTTAGTTCCTAGTACGTGCGCTTATGAAATTTTCCTGATTAACCTAGGGTATCTAAATTTTTGAGGTATACCTTGATACCTTTCTCACTCCTTCGCCATCTCTTTTTACATGGCCAAAAAACGCGTGTATCACAGTGCGCGCGGATCGCAGAACTTTTTGCATCCGGTTTTTTTCACGTATCCATCATCCACGAAGGTATTCCAA